TGTAGAACAGAGATGTATATGATTCCACGCTCGCTTTGTAACCCAACTGCTTTCTGTTTGCAGTTGTGGACTACTTCCAAAATAGAACAGCAGCAACACACCAGTTCAATGGACTATTAAACGAGTTGAAGTTGACTGAAATCCATTCTTCATATCTACCCCGATGGCTTCAAACTTTTATCCCACTGACTGACTGGGCAACGTACAAGCACTCTTCAAGGATGAAAAAAGCAGAAGAGGTGCTCTACCTTGCATCATTTTGTACAGCTACAGTTATTGAGGGAAATAATATTCTAGAGTACAATGCATACCATTTAAGAAATGCTTTGGAAAGTGGAAGGTAGAGAGGTAGACAGTTGAAGATGGCCTGATTCTCCAGCCCATTACACATTATATTCTGACATGAATGGAAGCACGAGAGTATAAAACAAAATGAAAGAGTGAAGAAGTAAATCTGGTTTGTGATCACAGCTCTGAACAGACTTTTCTGCCATATGCTACTGCCAACACATTAAAAAGCTTTGGCACCATATTTCGTATAGAGTGGAAAGAAATGCTTTCTATGTGTATTTCCACTAGTTTTTTTCCTTAAGCAAATTTAGCCCGTAACACTTCTCCTTCACACATAGAGCCTTATGTAATAGTAGGCAATATTTTGACACTTTCTAGAGGATCATAAGAGCATTCAAGTCGTTCCAAGATCAAAGTTTTCAACTAGCCTTTTCATTCTATCACCACCTGTTGTCTTTTGCTATATTCAAAATGAAGCAAATGAAGACTACGTATCCTTGTAGGAGGTTATGGAGCCGAAAATAAATATAGGAGGAAGAGACCTGAGGGACTTTAATACTATTCATCTAATAATAAGAAGAATAAGCAACACATCCTGAAAGTAACACTGGCATGAAGGGTAAATAAGGCTTCTGTTGGTTAAATAGAATATGACTGAAAATCTTGAGTTGAATAGCGTCTTCATATCATCACATTTTGAAACAGAAGAGCCTAGAATATTTTTTTAATATATAAAGCAAACAATGTTATTGTCCAAGTAGAGACAAGGAGATCAAGTGATAGTCTATAGAAGAATCAACTTGGAGGGAATAAATGTTTTTATGTATCCTCCTATCTTGAAGATGGAAAAACTCCTGGTGGACTTTCCCCACTGACAACAAATAGCAGACATACTTCAACTGAAAAGCACGTGGTCCCTAAACGCAGTTATTCAGAGTGATTTAATGCCCTGCAGGAACAAGTACTTTTCTTTCAGTGTCTTCATCTTCAGATATTCAAATGGTGCCCTCAGATGTGGCCTGAATCAAAAGACAAAAGCTTGGTGCTCCTTTCGAAATCACTTTATCAACATCAATGCTTCTCAGAACATTGAAAGAGCTATGTATATTCCAACAATTACCCTAATCACTCTTTTAAAAAAATATTTTAAGAAAAATCATACACTTTTTTCTGAAGTTTTCGTATTTAAGGGGAAATATTTCCTATTCAAGAAAATTTTTCTTCTGAAATGCATTTCACATGCTTGCTTTTCGTAGACGCCTTTTAAAATCAAAATAATGTTACCACTTGACAACAAAAGCAAGAGAGATCAATACATAAAGTAGTAAAATTCTATTAAGAACATGAGACCACACTGCATGTAGTCTTCCAAGGTCCAGTAATTTAATACCTTGTATAAACTCAATGGAAGAGCAGGTAGCTATATGTAAGGAATCAAACGGTACAGCAAAATTTATTTTGCAAATATATGAATATTAACCTGCAACTTTGTGCTCTGATATATATATATTTGCTATTGTGTTCAAAACTTTTGCACATATCACTTCAAGTAAAACAAGTCAAAAAAAAGACTTTAAAGTATTATCAACTGTATTACCTGGTATTTTGTTCTACACTCACTTGACAGTTAAATTATTACATTGCAAGTAAGTATGAAACTTTAGTAGCCAAATAGTAAAGAGAGAAAAAAAAATGCATGTAAGAAGGTATTACTATACTGTGATATGGTCTGATACACAGCTAATGTATATGACACGTTTACACTATTTCATTTTTCTTTGGTGACTGCATGCTACTCTGTTGATGTTTGTTTCAAGTATTTACTTTCAAATCTTCATTATATTTAAGTGTTTTTATTTGGTGCAAAAATAAAATCCTAATAGGGCTATTAATTTAATTGGGTCCCACCAGCATGACAACATCTTCATCATGAACATGTTTAGACTGAAAAAAACACCAAGAAATGCACACCTGTTCATATCCATTAGATACTCTGGCACTTGTATTAAACTGTACCATTTCATTTTGAATGAGTATACTGCATTACCAGGCAATAAAAATTTCTTGGCATTAGCCATCATTAAGTAGTAATACTCAAGTTAGGGATGATCAACTAAAAGGTTAATATAATTTATGCTGCACAGTGCAGAATGTCAGTTTAAACCCAGTACTTTTTCCGTGTAAAAGTATGTACTAAGCACTTCCAGGAAGTGAACTGAAGTAGTCCTCACAGAACAGCCCGATGAGCTAAAACAAGTTCTTGCATAGAATTTTTTTCTCCAAATACAACTTGCAATTAAACAAACAAGACAAATGAAAATACTATAGAAAAATTAAAAAATCCACTTTCAACATAATTTTATTGAATCTCTAACTGTTTTGTCAAGATAAAAGGTGACTATTTTATTATCCTGAAATGGGGTATGTGTCACATAAATAAAACATGTCACAGTTCTTGCACTCATGAGACTTATGCCAGAAGTGACTCCATTTCTGTTTACTCTCATGGCATAGTTCATGTAATCCACACATATGTATATTTTAGATACACAGAGGAAAAAACATTTCAGTCATTTGTTTCAGTGTTTTGAAAGGATTCATTATCTAAGTTTATCTCAAATATTCATTCATCAGAATCTGGGATTTACTTTAATGATAAAGTATTACTATTTAAGAGATGAACAGGTTCATTACAGTATCAATTAGGTAATGTTCCTGTTTCTGTTCTCAGTAAAATCTAGGGGCAATTATGATTATAGTAGCTGTGAACTCCAGTTACTCACAGTGAAGCAAATGAAGGGCTATTTTCTAAATGCTTGTCATTGCTGGTCATTTCTTGTAGGCCATTTATATTGTAATAAATGAATTTTTTTGGTCTAATGGACATTATAGATGCAGAGTATTCTATAACCGCTGTGGCAGACTGAATACATTCTATTTTTAATATAAAAAAAAAAACCAAAGAAGATTTCAGGATGTTCCAAAGCACTCTGAGTACTTCAGCTGGACCAGAATATGCCTTTAACCACTATCTCTGAAGGAGTGTACCCGACAGAAATGTATCTTCAATTTATTTACTGTTGGTTATAGTCTCTATTGTAGAAAACCTCCTTTAAAAGAAACCAAAAGAGCAAAAGAAAACAAGATCAAATTAGAAACTTATCTACAATCAGGAAACCTGTGGCTGAGCTAGGGACTAAGCTATTATTTTAGGGAGTCTTTCTGAGACTCAGCCAGCAAAACAATCCATCCCTATGTGATGTCTCATGTGACAGATCGGGTAAAGATGGAGAACACCTTTATACTGCAGACACTTCAGTCTCTCTTGATTGACACTCTCACCTAGTCTTTGAATTGATGTTGAGAACGCAGGCTATATAGACAGATCCCTCAGGGATGCAACAAATGAGGACTCCTTCATGGAGGAGCAGGTGTCAATAGTGACAATCATTTCAGTGCAATCGCACTAGCTGTACCATGTTTTTATGGTGAAACAGGATTTTATCATTGACCGTATCAAATACATAGGAAAATCCAGCTGGGTTAATGTTAATGCAATGCAATAAAAATGCCCAGCAATGCAAAAGAGAATAAATCCAACAAGGAGAAATATCAGGTTATTAGTCCTGTGTAGGCTACAGGATTCTCACCATTCCAAACATCCATCTCAGTCAACAAAATTTCAAAGAAAAACATTGTTCTTTGCTTTAAAAGAAGATACTTTGTTCTTATTGAAATAGCAAAATTCAGGGGCTACAGAGATAATTCACACTGTCGAACAGTTTTAGTAGATGCTAAGAGAGATATATTTGTTTTCTAAGACCAGGTTAACAGCTTCCAGTTAGATCTGGTTGTTGTAATTTGTGTCTACTCAGTTTTCCACACATGGCAATTTTCCTGTTTGTTCCTGTAAGAAGCCATACCAATTCACAGGACTAAATATTTTGAGTCAATCACATTAAAAGCTGTCATTAACCAACAATCGTATCAATTCCACTGACGTTCTGTATCACAGCTCTTGGATGAAACGGATTCATCTACAAGTAACAACATGAATTTTGACAGGGCCAATGGCTTTCTTGGCTGGTAACTCGCTTTGCTTGCATATATATCGGAAGGTCAAAAAATAATGTAGGAAAAACAAGCTGTTTCTCACAGATGATATACCTGGAGCAGGCTCATCTCACAGATGATATACCTGTTTACTATCAGAAACAAAAATAAAAATTACAATATAAAAAAAAAAGCTCTTGAAAGTACTGTGCTTTAAAAGGCTACCTTTTCCCTTTGAAACAAAACCAGAAAAGAACAATTTCCCCTAACTGTGCATATTAAAGTCTAGACATTTGATTGTTCTATATTCACTCAAATTAAAGAGCCGCAGAGTACTTAGGCTCAAGTTAATATCTGCTTAGGATTATATATTACAGTATAATTGGGTACCTTCTCTGTTAAAGGTGCAGATAATAAAATTTTCCCTAATATAATCAAATATTGATTAATTTGGAACTAACATTCATATTAAAAGATGTTGCTACTTTGAATAACACGTAATCTTACCTGTGTATGTTATCTTGACCAGAAGAGACTACACCCAGATTTGCTGCTTTCATTACCCTCTCAATTATTACAAGTCTAGTAGAGTTCTGTGGAGCAACAGCTATTGTAGCAGATGTCTCATTCATTCCTGTCAGCATTCCTGAAACATTAAGTATTTAATTACAGATAGTTTAAGATTTACTTGCTTATTAAGCATAAAACCAAAATAAGAGACATCTAAACAAAAACCATATTTGCATTAAAAGTTAAATCATTTATTGAGAAAACAATTTAAAAATTTTATAAGAACTCACATCATTAGTTTAATGTATTACTTGCAATAGCCCACTATTAGAAACAAACTACTAATAACTGGCAATCATATATGTGATGCTACTGCAACTGTGAAACCAAGTTAGTTCCTCTTCTTGAAAAGCTTAACTTAAAAGAACAGTGTAAGCATAGAAATTAAATATTGCGTAAGGCTGATTTGGAAAAGTTCAGCTTAAGTAAGACCATACACAAAGACAATTTCTGATCTTTCAATCGTAAAACCATTGCATTTAATTTATCCAGCTGCTAAAAATTATATTGAAATTCAGATAGTAGTAATTGGTTCAATTTAGTTCTTTAAGGTTAAGTCATCACATTAGAAACTGGGAAATTCAGGTAGTATCCAGCTCTCAAAAATGTTATGATAAACTATTTGAGTCAAATAATTTGAATATCATTACAAAATGTAATAGAAATGTTAAGATTATATCCAAACATATGACAAAGAAAAAGTAAAGAAAGATACGTAATTCAAGGACATTTTAACAAAACCCCCACTTTTCTGTTCTATCAATATCCATTTTTCAGAAGAACGATTTGCTGGATGCTCACGTTGATTAAAACACAACAGTAAGTACAATTTAACACTATGTGTGCCTTTTTACAGTATGTTCAGAAGCTGAAAATGCAGACAAAGGAGCACAGTACTTCAGGCAGAAACATGAAGCATCTGAAATCCACAACATTAACAATGAAAACAATGGGAAAGTCTCAAAAGGCCATAACGTTTTGGGGCTGCACACACAGTTCTAACCCAGAGCAAATAGTACCAAGATGCTTAATAGAGCAATTAAAACAATAAATCCTACATTTTAATGCCCCTGAATGTGAGGCTGTCACAAAATAAGAAATACCAAAGTAAAAATGGAATAGCTCAAAAGTAAATAACAGGATATTTCTGAAGAGAACAAAAATAAGCATGCAACTTCTGTAATGATCAGATTTATCAAGGGAACAGAACACTCTGTTTTGAATTGTTTAACTATTAGGTAAAAGCTTTAAAAACTACATATGCAGACTAAAGCTGCTTTTAAACAGAGCACAGGGACTGACATAACACTGCTGAGAGATGTGTGTACTTATTTAGGATTTAAACCTTCTCCATTAAGCTCTATTGAAGAGCAAATGCTGAATAAATGAATGCAACTATGTTTATGTTAAAAGCCTGTTTCCCGCAGCATGTAATTAAAGGAAATGTTGTACAAAGCCAGTACTTTTGTCAAGCTCCTGTAAATGGAAAGATGGATAGCACTCAGAGAAGTGAATGCATTGCTTCATATTTAACCTTAACACTCTTGTCATTAATGGTTTGTCTAACTTGTTCTATAAAAGACAAGGTACTGCTCCATTGAAGTAAAATTAAAAAAATCAACTAAACCATGCTTTTCAGAACAGAAGATTCATTATCGTTGACTAATGTATTGGCATAAAGCAAAGTAACATCCTATCAAGTAAGGCACACATTCAATCTGCTTTTTCACCCCCCTTTATTTTTAACTCATGCTGTTTTATTGTTATAGGCAATTTGTACCACTCAGCATGACAGTGTAAACTGAATCAAGATTAATTTACATGCAAAAGAACACTTAGGAGAGCAGCGTGGTAAGCAAATGTATTGTCTCGATTGCTGAGGTGGAAAAGAACCTGGAAAAAAAAAGGGTGCTCTAATTAAGGAGCATCAAATATGATTGCTTGGGGTAGTCAATGGCCAGAAAATAGTAAATGTCCAGCCATTTAAAGAATTAGCATCTTGCTTCTTAAGAAAACAAATTGTATATATCTAATTTTAATAAAATTACGTAAACTATCTGTTTACATAACCAAAATTGGGGTTTGTTGGGTTTTTGTTTGTTTGTTTTTTTAATGTGATTCAGGTATACACTTCTAAAAAAAAGTTGAAAAAATTATTTCAAACCATGTCTCTTGGCAAAAAAAATCTTAATACTTAAATCAGTTTTAACTGCCTATTTAAAAAGCACCTTCATAAAAATTCTGATTAATATCCAGCTAAAACAATCACATGACACCTTTAATATTGCTTTAATATTGCTTGAAACAAGAGGATCTAAGAAAATTCTAGTCAGAGCACAAAGCACACTTAGTCTGGGTTAACTACCTGATACAATGAAATAACTGTACATATTTTAAATAATAAACATAAATTCAATTGGAAAAATTACAGTGATAGGTAACAAGGAATATTAGCTACCAGACCAGTCCTACTCTGAACTGAGAGTTCCCAACGGTCCATGTTTCACTCATGCAGAATTTTTTCTATAGAAACTTGGCTTTTCATGGGGATGTGATATAAAAGAAGTATAAAATCCTGAGGCCTGAAGGATCAGTAAAAATATTTAAGCAGGAAGGCAAAGAGTGTCTGGCAATACCATTTTTACCCACTCATTCCAAATTGTCAGTCACAACAACAACCACCAACTCAGCCACTGCTCAGGGGAATTACCTCACCAGAGGATTCCCCAGCTCCGGAGGAAAGGAAAGGGAAGGCAGTGTAGCAGGGCTAAGCATATCCCGCACAGCATGTGGATAAAAACGGTTTTTGAGGTTCTGCTGCTATCACTAGATAACCTTCACAGCAATGAATATTCAATAACCCGTCTGTTCCCCTCTCCTTATGCCATCGGGAAGAAAATGGACATATACAAATGTAACAGACAATGCAAAACAGCAGAGTGTAATTGAGTAAAGATGTGTAGCAATGAATTTTCTTCTACACAGTAGTATAATACCAGCTATTTCCGCTTTAGCATTCTTATTAGGTTACACATGCAATTTAGATGTAAAAATCCTTAAAACCCATACGTATTCTCATTCTTCCCAATGTTATCTTACATTTCTTAATATTCTCCTCACTCATTCACTATTTTGTACCTATTTGTTTTGGTTGCAAATAAAATAACCTCCAGGTACAGGACTTGAAACATCTTATGTCCAAAACCAAACAAAAAAAAAAAAAAAGGGAAAAGAAAAAGCATGAAAAGTGAAAAACAAGTTCTATAAATCAGATTCATTAGGAGAATACAGAAAAATTGAAATTATACACAAAATAGAATAACATAAATGAACTTCTAAATTGCCCTGCATTTATTACTGTAATTTGGATTTTTCATTTACAAGAACACAAAGTAATTCTTCCCAAATGCTAGAAGTTCTTAGATCCTTGTAATACATACTCAAGCAAAATGTAGAACTGAGACCTCTATTACCAAGAATATTCTGATACAGATGATATCTATAAGAAAAAAGATGCAACAGAAAAGGTTTTTAAAGCTGTGGTAAACTTGCCAGCCTGCAAAGTCCTGCATCAAAGAATGAATTCAGGAAGACAGGGCGAGCAATATAGAAATGCCAAGAGACCTTCATGGATTTACAAATACTTCATATAAACAAATTTTCAAATAGCTTTATTCAGAGTAGCCTTTCTGCTCTATTAAACATAGCAAACAGCTGCCAGATTTATTCAGACAAATAATCAACAACCATAGAAGTAAAATGGCAGAAGAAAAAGGAATTTTGGCAACAACTCCACAGAGGACCACAGCTATTCTCCAAGTACACTTCTTCTATGTGCTCATGGTTCTGTATGGCTAGTCAGGAGGAAAAAAAGCCCTCAGTCACAGTAAAGCATACAAAAACTCTATCAAAATATCACAAAGCAAGCAAATATAAAAAAAGAGGGGGAAGAAGCACAGTAACCTGCCTTCTTTCCACTACAACTTCAGCTGCAATTTTTAGAAGGGAACAGTTAAAAATAAATGTGCCACAGCCTCGTTCAATCACTCACCTTCATTTGCTGAGCAGGTATAAAGCAGAGAGGCAGGCTTTAGCCAGCAAAGGGTAAGAACAGCAAATAAGCATCAATTGGTTATGAAAACAAAGCACAATCCTAACTTTTCGCTGCAGCCATAAGCTTAACTGTAAATCATCCAGGCAATATTTAAACTACTTTCTTAATAACTCAAAAATACAAAAGCAAGAAATGCTCAACAGCAATAACTAATAATTCATAACATTACTCATAGGTGTTCTTGACTGCTTGATGGATATACTGAGTTTCTGAGCCTTACACAGCAATGAGATAGGATCCCATGGGTATATTCTCATCTCAGTGTGAAGAGATTTACACATGTAAATCCCCATACATTGAGATAGATGAGTAAACACTACTACATTTAAATGCATCCAAAATGTAACCATTTATACTTTAAAATATCCAAGAATCATATACAAATTAAGGGTAGCAGTATTGACTATTCCATTTAACACATGGTCCTAAGCACAATTTTCTCTAATTATTTTGCATAAAATAGTCAAGTCACTAAAAGCTGTTAAGGAGGTTTTTGCTTGGACTAGCATCAGAAACTTACATTCTTTAAAAACACAATATCAGAAGAATGCAGAAGTATAAAAACCATGTCACCTTTCCAAAACAGTAGTCCAATAAAAATATTTTTTTAATATGAAGCGTTTGAAAGTGAATATATTAAAATAATCTTCAAAGTACCTGAGGAACAGGTATGCTAGTAGTATTTAAAATCAACCTTGGAACAAAGACTAGTAAAAATGGACACAATATCAACATATATTTGGGTTATTTCCTTGAGATGGCATTCCAATTTTCTGCTTTACTGTTGGTAGGAAAGACATTCACATTCCATGATAGGAAGCCAAAACATTTTCAGTCAGAAGACTGTTTCAGGGTAAAGGGTGGGCTTTGTGCTTTTTAAAGGCCCACTGAAAAGTTGTCCAATTTCATTGCACATTCTTTTTAAGATATTTTTAACTGCTTATTAGTATCAGTGTGACTAATATGACCACCTACAACTGGAAGCACTTGCTGTACGCTTGGAAACTGAAAGGCATACAGCCCTCTTCCCAAACATATTTAGTGATGCTGCTGAAACATTGCTCACCTTGCTCCTTCTTAAAGTCTTTCTCTGACATAGTGACAGGCAAGAGTAGTTCTCCAACAGGGGGTTGAATGCTAACATTGAAATGATCATCCTTTGTGCTAGGAAAAGAGAAATTACACAGAATCAACCAAGTGCTACAACATAGATTGATATATACATACCAGCTACAAATTTTCTATGGAATCTTTAAAAAGTGTAAGAACTACCTGAATGATTCCTACTTCATTAATCTGAAAGCCTTCTACCTTCTTACATTAGTAAAGGTGATCCATTTTCTCCAGTACAAATGTAGTATTAATACAGTATGTATGGCCTTGCATTTCTGAAAATATTTCTTACTCATAAAATAATATTTCTTACTCATATCAATGTTTAGGAGTAATCTACAAGGCATCCCACTCAAACTGAATGCTTGCAAAGGACAAATTATTGTGCATTTTTACAAACTGTAGAAGAACTGTTATTCACACATCCTGTCATCAGTAACAGCTGTCCCAGAAATAGGTCGGAACATAGGAAAGGTATTTCAGATCAAAGAACGATTATTGTATGAAAAAAGCACAAGCATGACAAACAATAAATATGGTAGTAAAAAAGAAATATCTTTGGTAAGTTCAATTTTGCAACATTTTGTATATTTAAACAAAACCACACAGCGTAGTGGCTGATACAAATGCACACCGGAAAACTGCAGAACTTGTGGCTGCTTTCTTAATGGCAGAGTTAAAAAGCAGCATCACTAAAAGCATACTACTATCAAATGCTATAGATTCCTCCTTAAGAAATAAATACCATACCGTGAACTTGCTCTCCCTATCCATTCACTTCTCTAAGCTTCCTACTATTTTGTTGTAGATTTCCTCAAGGCTACAGAAACTCAAGATACATTCACTCTGCTGTGTTTCTTTGCCTACCTATTACTGTAAGAGATTTGCCCAGCAATTCAGGATCAGTACATGCAGTCAGATTCTTTTTTAATGCTTTGAGGCCTGAGAAATTTTTAGAAAAGAACACTTTTTTTTAACTGATGTACCAAATAGTCAATACATATTGATTGCTGATATGGCTCAGATATCTTATTTAAATACAGCAATACAATTGTTAGAATGGAAAATATGTTTCATCAATTAAGATCCATGGTATTTAAACTACCTAAAACCCGTGTTACTCATTTTTTATAACTCTGCAACTTCAAAATTCTGAAACAAGACAGATTGATGAAAAAAGATTAATAACATAGAAAATATGTGTCTCCCTCCTAGAGATGTAAGATAAGCCACCTGAAAACAGAAAAGCATTTTACAGCCCTATTACTCAAAATTCTAATACTTACCATAATTACCCATTTTCAAAAGCAAATGCTTAGGACCTAGTACAGTCTTACTTTCTACCTTCTGATGTGTTATAATCATGCTTATGGATGCAATCTCAAGTATGGGCTATTCAAAAAAACCCCAGTACTGATGCTCACTTTTTTCACAACTGCTATTTAGTAAACATACAGGGAAACAATCCCTTCAAACCTGGCTAGTATTTCCCTTACAAAGAATCATTTATGAAATGCTGCTTTTAAAAGCAAAAAAGTCTCTTTTTTCCCCCCCTATATTACTCTAAATACCATCCATCTCTAAAGTAATTTTTATAACGAAACACCAGGAATTGTTTGATTGGCTGCCCTGGTTAAGTGCACCGTAAAATAAGAAAGAAGTATTTTTTTTTTAATTTTTCCTTTGAAAAGTGATTAAGAACTCAATCAGCTTAAGAGCTGATAGAAGGGTCTTTAATCAGCTGCCTCATTAATGTTTTGCTGTTTATATCTACTACTTGGACTACAAGCCTAACACTTCTGGTAATACTTTCATTGGCACTATTCAACTGATCATTCAGCCAATGTTATGTTTCATATTCAAGCAAGATGTGCACTACATAATTCAGCAGGAAACAGCTGAGTACAGCTGAGTACACTGTCTTGTGTACAATGATTCATATCTTTCATTGACTGGACATGCCACTTGTACATAAACTTGACTTATCAATTATTAGATTGCTTTAAAATGCTTATAATATTTTCACAATAAGAAGGAATAAAAGCATGAGCATAGCTTGGGTTTTATAGGGCTGTAACTGCTCAAGAGGACCACTTGACACCTCTGCTGTTAACAAACATTCCACTTGCCTTTTCTCTAGTGAATAAATAGCTAGTATATATTTTTTGATAAACCATGAATTTCTACAAACAGAAATTCTGATTGCTTAGTGTTCTTCAAACCACTTTGTTCTTAATTTCACTTTAGTCAGCATCTGGTTTACTTTGTATTACTTTAATTCTAATGCACTTTGTAAATTTCTTCTTCAGCTAGAGAAAATCATTTTTCCTTACAGATTCTCTTTATCAGACATTTCACAGGCTAAATATACAGCTTTTGTTTATTGATCTACATCTCTTTTATTATATCTTTATATATTAGAGAGCTCATAATATCTAATTTAACAAAAGTAATTCATAATTCTATAGAACCACAGATAATTCAGAAAGGCCATTAAGAAATCACCTGGTCCTACCTCCTGCTCAAGCCAGAGCCACCTTAGTTCACATTGCTCAGGGTCTTGTCTATTTGAACGCTGAGTATCTCCAAAGATGGAGATTTCATCAGACATCTAATGGACAAGTTTAATAATAATACTGAGTTTTGCAGTACAACTACTTAATTTCCTGCAGTACCAAGTAAACTAAATTCCAGTGTATTTAACGCATTTATTTGTAATTTTAATAATATTATTAGTATAACTGATGCTTAAACTGCAGAGGTGATTTGAAGCTTGAACATTAACATTTAAGAATCTGCTGAGCAACTCGTTCAAGCTGCACCGAAACACCTCTCAGGTGGTGTTGCTCTAACTATCCTGGAAGATCAAGCTGAAGAAGCTTACTGGAAAAAAAAAACAAACCAAAGCTTTTCAGGCCGATGAAATGTAACTGTTTTCAGATTTCAAAAATTAAAGACTGAATTTTCTGACATTATCAAGTGCAACTGGTAAGTTACAGCCTTAGCAGAACAAGAATGCTTAATGAGAAGTCCTCAGAAGGAAGTTCTAAAAGAATCAAACAACTGGGGATGTCCAAGAATAGTACCTTGCCACTAGTTTGCAAAATCTGTTTCGTATTTAATTGTGAACTTAGGGGCAAATAACGTTAGACATTATTACTCCTACTTATGCCTTAAAAACTGTTAAACTGTACATATTGTATTTTTAAAAGGCTTACATCACTTTCCTGATTCAATTTCAAGGATCATATGAATTTATCTTCTGATGCACCCAATTAAGATGAACAGATGAGAGACAATAATGTTTCCACAGGATCATAGGGAGACTTACTAGCTCCATGATAAATGACACTGCAGGTCTAACATTCAACCCTTAAGAAGATGTGCAGTTTTACGTTTTCTTTAGATGGCTGCAGTTGGACCAGCTAGCACCTGCCATTTGAAACCAGAGGCTATTCCCTCTCTCGTCTCTCTTTTTTTTTTTTTAAATAATTGGCTTCAAAGGGTTCCTGGCAAAGAAGTTCTCTGCCACAATGTAAGACTTCAGGACAATGATGGCAAAATCTTCTTTAAAACTAATGCAAATAATATTAACACTTTTGAATGAGGTTTTTTAAGATTCCACAATAGCAGTGTTTAAAGTCTTAATTTCCAAGGCTTCTAATAAATTATTACTCTAATAGGAGACTGTGGAAGATTCTTCTTGCTCTTTATATTATCCTTTTTTCTTTCAGCGTCTGCTTGTCCCAGAATACACTTATCCCAAACCAGCTTAATATTTTTGTCTTATATTCAAAAGATCTCCAAAAATAATCAAAAAAGAATGGAAAAGGAAGAGCAACACAAAGTTGCTAAGTTACCACAAAACAAAACATGGAATGGAGAAGTCTAAGAGACTTTGCTCATAGTCTTGCTGAAGAAAGTACAGTATCTGGCTTTTATGAGAAAAAAGGCCAAAGCAATAGAACAAATGAGAGCAGTTGTCTATGTCCAGCCTTGTTTTTTCCAAGGTCAGTTATCTATCTCAGTATAATTGTTTTCTGGAATAGGGCCAACCGACTACTTTAGAGTAATGAAATAAAGAGAAAAGTACCAGATTTCTTGTCATACATCTATAAACAACTTGGTGATCTGCTGACAAAGCACTAGGAAAGGAAACAGCAAGAAGCATATGAAAATGCAAGTGACAGTGTTGTGAAGACAGTCCTGCATCTCTAACATTAGCTATTAATATATTCCATAACATATTCCACTACATAATTTTAATCAGATGCTTTTGTGCAAGCATCTACACCTGAATGCATGCTTGCACTCAACAGAAATACTGACTGCTAAGCAGCTGATCCTCTTCATTTACTCCACTTTGCAGGTAGGAGTTCTGCTTGACAAGATTCTACAGCAACACAGACTGAAGTAAGTGAATTTCATGTTGCAAAAAATCTCTTCCTTGGAAAAAAAAATTTAGAGCAAAATCTTTTACAATAAGATAGAACCTGCAGAGAGCAGACTGAACAAGGTTTTCAAATTTCATTCATGGGATTTAGTTCATTTAAGAAAATGCTATAATCTTCTTGCTACACCAACCTCTTCTGGAGTAATCAGCAAAATATTTTCTCTATATAGTCCAACGCAGACAAAGTAACGGACAGTTTCCTTTTCTATCAGCATAACGACAGCAAGAAAGTATGTACATGGTCCTAGCCCTTCTAATGAACTGGAATATATGAAATGCCAATATAAGGAAGCCAGCTTGTGTTTGTAAAAACCTCTGCCACATATCACATTTTTTTTCCATGACCTAATTATTCTGAAAAAGAATGGAAGGCATAGAAGTTGCTGCTTTCATTCCATTTCCCTTTCTTCTTGGGGGCTCCGATTGTACTCTTTGCACTTAAACCCTGAGAAAACTAGCAAAAGAGATGCATGGCATGGACCCTTCCCCTACGCCAAGTGGTTTCAAAAAAAGCTAAACAACACCCTACACATTGTTCAAAAGAACAGGGAAAAGAAGAGAACAGGTTCTCCAGAAACTGTTCTTTCATGGTTTTGGGAACAGCCAAGAGAGTCTGTAAAGAGGGGATGAAAAGGGAAGAAGAGGTAAAGACAAACTTTCTTCTTCAGCTTTCAATGTTGTAAAAAGGAGATCTCCCCTTCACCTTTCCTCATTCATCAGATACCTACAAGAAATTGGAGATTTGCCTACTGGGTTTTACAAATGCAGACGGGAATTCATAACGCTAAATATACGCACACAAAATAGGATAAGGGCATGTATATGCTGTAACCTTCTGTGTCTCTATAACCTTCCTTGTCTTTTTTCTCAACCAAATTCTGACATGGCAAAGCTCCAAAATCTTTGTTCAGATATCTCAGAAAACTGGTAAGCTGTGAGAAAGACCTGAGAATATCTGAAAAGTAGAAACAAGCAAGACAATAAAGATAGCATATGAGGTAGTGCTAAGGTAGCGATCACTAGGAGCTCAAGGATTCAAGAGAAGACACAAGGATGTGGAAATCTTGAAAATCTGACAAGGGAAAAAAAAGTAATTGCACAGTCAGTGGAGTACTGCAGTTAGTCTGTTGCATCAAGGATACATTCCAACCTTTGCTCAACTGCTCAACTTGCTCAGCTTTGCTCAACTGCTCACCCTTTGCCTACCTGCCTACCTAAGGCTGAAGTCTGTTTCTGGGATGATGAATATACTAAAATTTAACTAGGATTCAACAAGCTAGCAACCTACATTGCAGGTGAGTTAGTTAATAATAAATTGCTTTAAGCTTCTAAGCTGTGTATATCCTGCTTGCAGAATGATAACAAAGTAACCCACAAAGACAGAGCATCACTCAAAAAAATCTTTTAAAAGACCAAGTTCCTCCATTTATTCCTCTTTAACATTCTGCTTGAGAGGCATTATCATGCAGAACACCAGTGTGGCTGAAACAGTTTGCCTCTGCAAGGAGGTGGAACAAGAAAAATAGCAATGAAGAGATATTCTCCTTACAAGTACATAGCGTGAACATTCTAATACACATTCTAAATAAATGCATTAGGCATAGTTTTCAAGTTAAGGGGTTTCACTTCTTTTTAATTAGATATGTGATCTTGGTAGGCTTTGCTTAACAGAAACAGTATTTGTGAGGGAGGTCTTTCAAAGCTCAGCCCTTCAAACCTCTCTTTAAAGCAGTTTCTCCTTCATTGTCCTTGAATCTGTACAACAAATTGAGAAAAAGATCTAAATATTTTATGGCTCTTGTTAGGTTTTTTCTTTATACAGTTTGTATTTATCGAACCAATAGTACCACAGCACATCCCCTAGCAGAAAGGTAGTGTTTGCTATGCAAAACACACAGTCCATGATTGGCATCTAAGACCAATTGATCTACCCATTACCACTACGTCCCTACCCCCACAAGCTTTACTACAAAGCTATTGATTTAAACACTGCCGATCGGTTTCCATTTTCTGATTTTGGGCAGGCCAATTAAGAAAGTGAGTAATTGTGATTACACCACTTCAGGATCAATTACATTTGATGCAAGATAAAGTGCTCCTCTTAGAACAACATAAAGAAAATTGTTATGATCAGGAACACTTTACTGCTGAACATGCTTCTAACAAAAATGCAAAATAACTGACAATGTCTTTCATAAGGGTATGTTAGTAGGAAATACAGGAATATCAACATATTTCGTACAGTATTTCAACTATATTTTGACTAACTTCTAGAAGTCATTCCTTCTTTTGGATAAAAGCTTTTTAAGAAATATGACAAGTTAAAAAGGCTGCATCTGAGTTGTCTAAGACATTGCTCCCAAAACATCACACTGCACAATTTCTTCAATGATATTGCAGATGAGTACCATTTTGAACAGCATATGTTTTCAAATAGCAAATTTAACGCAAAGAACATTTTACCTATTATTATACTATTTCCTAAGAACTAGTGACAAAGAAACAAGGCCCTATCAATTAGCAAAGGAACAAAGTAAGCAATTCCTATTCTTAATTTAATTTTAAACTTAGCTTGAGCACTTTGTCATTGGACTCACATTGTCTAAATCATTAAAATGAATACACCACTGAGGTCTGAGGCAAATCTATTTACAGTGATGTTACTCATAGTCTGGTTGGTGTTCAGGAATATTGATCTGTCTTGTTTGTCTAATAGGAAAATAATAAACAATTACTAGGCAATGTTGGAGAAAGTAATCAGTTTTTATATATCACTAATACAGCAGACCTCCCAAAACATAAAGGTGATGATCTGCATAAAATCAATGTGTTATGCTACATTGCTTATCCTCATCACTGCTAAGATTCTTAAATAAACGGTGTAAGTTTGAAATCAAACCACTGGTATACTGAAAATATGCACCTGAAAGAAAAATATCTGCTCTATGTAAAAAAGAATGTTTCTGCTTGATAAACTGATTATATTCTATTTTAAAAAACTCAAATATATTTAGAAAAAGAGAGCCTATCATTTTGAAGCAATTTTGAAATTGCACTCTGTAGAAGGGAACTTCCTTCCCAAACAAACCTAGCATCAGGCAACAGTTCAAAGCTGTTTCCAAATTCCAGCAAATAGTATACAGACCAGCTATGACAACATGATGCACATAAACTACATGCTGCAGACATCTTGCTGGAGGTACAAATAGGTGTAAAATGACTATGTAGGAGTATCCGTTGTACTGGGAAAGGTTTGACAAATGGAAAGAAAAAATTCAACAGTAAAACCTTCTTGCCCCTAGAACAAGCAATCTTATTTTAGCAGTACTTTTGGAGTCACTAGGGTACATCTCTATGATTAATATTTTCACGATGCCTTTAATAACCTGTAAATTGCACAGGCTGTCCTTAGTAGCAGTACACTAAAATTGCTACAGTACTTAAGACAGGGGTAGAGAACTTTCTCAAAGGGTTTCCCTTAAACTGGATTGCAGAAATGTGAATGTCTCTTCAATATTTTTTTTTTTTACAGAACATTGAAAACAGTGATTCTTGCTACAAAACATGTAAAAACCCCATTATTTCAGAATGTGTAAAAAAAAAAAAAGACGTGCAGATCTACATACTGCTGTTGCACAGTTTCAAAGACTACATAAAAGTGAACAGCTCTAAAAGAAGGTTTCCCCCTTCCATTCTTTCCCAGTGTTTGGACATCGCTACTATAAATTTACCCTGCTTTCAAATGCTAGTTTATAACAGAATTCTCACTGGGTGAACAGGTTCCCTGTTATCCTAGAATGCAGAAGGAACTCATACAAAGGAGGACCTTGAACATGCCAATAAAAAGCACAAAAAACGTAAATCAAGAATGTAAGACAAAATCTAGCTGGCTAGCAAGTTACTTGTTTTCATTCTCTCACTATTTATTTAAAAGAATCTACAGCATGAGGAATAAACTCTTTAGGCCAGCAAGTTTTGGGGTTGGTTTCATGCAGTCATGTTACATAGATCACAAACAGCCATAATAAGCACTTGAGGTAGTAAAATTGCTCACACTAAGTGCTTTTATGACTTGCAATTTCTTACAAGGCAGAACACACACAAAACACTACAGGAGAATAGTCAGACCTGACTGCTCCTTTCAAGAGGGTGTTAATAAGAAAAATCCCAAGAAGAGCAGAACAAAAAAAATAAAGCTGAAAAACAGAGAAATAATTCTAAATCAAAAGAGGACTTAATGTTTCTGCTTAGTATCATTTACACCAAGGGAAAAACTATGCCTACCAAACACAATGTATCAAAGAGTTTTTGAGTGTAAACACATGACTTCAAACCTAGATCTGGGCTTCCTATCAAATCTGTGTTTTGAGAAGCAAGTGCTAAAAAAAATTTGAAGGCTGAAGAAAACGTTTCTTCTAATAGTAAAACTAAACACTAATCATGTATTATTTCTCTAAGAACATGTTGGGTATACATCATGCTATGAGTTTTGTTTAATTCTCTAAATATTTAATGAACAGCATGACTGCTATTGGCAAGTAAACTTCCAATAAACACTACTTTTGCCTTCCAAGAGCCAAAAATTACCCTCCCCTAACTCACCATAACTGGAAACTGGCTGTCTGAGTAGAATCACAGAAGTCAATACCCATTGTAACGGTAGTGGATCCTCCAGGCTCAAGGCACTCTAAATGAAGAGATTTGTAACAGGTAAAGTATCTGTGCAAGGCAACAGAAGACCCCAGATACAAATAGTCAAACTTCATATAATTAAAAACCTATGTTAACAAGCCCCAAAAAGCTCCATTATAAAAGAATCAACAGCTGTAGTTTTATTTCAAGTAAGTGTCACCAAAATGTCACACTTAGACATTTAAGTGTCTTGGATCCCCCCTCTCACACAGTTAGTGCACATGAAATGTTGCCATTTCAATCTTACAGCTCTATCAACAAAATAAGGATTTGTATTAGATAACTGAAGAAAATATTTTATAGAAAAAACATATTGAAGTTAAATCCTTCTACTTGTGTACAGATCCAGCACCGAGGTTTCATTTTCAATAACACTAGTTTGCACATTTAGTTAGTAAATAGCAAAACACAACAACTACTATTAAAATTTACATTAATACACATAGTAGTGGAAAATTAGCTGAACTTAAACTATTTCATAATTACTGTGGTTTACTTATGTCTCAATATTCCAATTGCATTAGTTGGAAGGGAGAAGAAAGATTATAAACATAAAATGGAAGATCATTTTGTGCTATACAAGCAGTATATATATATGTGTGTGTGTGTGTGTCACAGACACTCTTGACAGTTAAGATATCAAGAGATATTATCATTCTTAGCTTCTTGACTAAATCACTACACTATTTCCTTAATGCTGTAAAGACAAAGCTTTCTTTAAAGGCTTTTTCTTTTAAGCTCTAAGTAGAAGTATTAAAAACAAGCACCAAAGCAAAGTTTGACTACTCAAGATTACAACAAAGAAAAGCTAAAAGCACAGTTAAAAGAGAGGAATTCAAATACAAAGAATTGGACAGGCAGAAAAATGTCCAATTTCCAGACTATTCATAATGTATCTGATGCTTTTCAGGAACTGAAAAGTCGGCAACTGCTCCATGACAAAAGGAAACAAAATTTAACAATATCAAGTTTGGAAAAATACGGAAACATGGAGCTGATGCAGTTAGGCAGAGTCTAAACTAATGCTAGGGAATGAATGAAAAACAAAGTATTCCACAGAGTCTGTGTAAAGCATTGAAAGATTACAGGCTCCAGCTCAAATTCAGAATAAACTTTACCAAAGTCTTTGAGCCTAATGTTTTCAAAGGGGGTTGCAAAGGCAATTAGCCAACAAGAAAATGTGCAGGGGGACTTGAGTGAAATAATTTGGACCATTTCTACTGGAAAAATCAGGACAATTGCTAACAGTAATTGCAGTGAGTGAGGCAAAACTAGGTTTATACTCCAGTAGGAATACCTGTCTACACTGACACTTTTCTTGGTTCTGCTGGGCAAATTATAGGATGTGTTTTCCAAATGCTGGAAACAGAATAAGAACAGGGTATATGAACTTTTTCTAGATAAAGTGACAAAGAATACCAAAAATTTGCATTTAAGCAAGAAAAGTAACATTTTTTGAAGGAACTACAGATAATGTATAGCTAATTTTCTGCAGAAGAAATCAAAAGCTTCACAGGACAGATAGCACAATGTCCTTCTTGGAGAAACAAATACTTTAAAGGGTAGGACTGTTTTGTGGAGCTCAAAAAATCTTAAGTGGACAATTTATTAATTCTACTTTTTTTTTCCTCCATGGTTTTTATGTGAGACATGTGAATGCTACTTTTAATTGACTGTTACTGTGGGTACAGTACCTCCTGATCCAATCTACAGTGTTACTAGACTTCTACTTCTAAGCCTTTGTGCTTTTTTTCTTTAAATGTTTTAAAGGGAGGGATATACAATAAAGCTGATGGTCAAAACTAACTTGAATTCAGAAATCTGAGCAGGACTTCTTATCTTGAGGAATTAATATAAACCCCAAAATTATTATTATTATTAATTAGTATTAAAACAAAGATTAATACAGTTCCTAAACATAACTGTCTTGATAAAGCATATCGTTACCAAAATGGAAACAGTTCCATAATTTTAACTCCAAAATAAACTGTAGCATTGGACAATTTGGTGTAAATCTGTATAACCTTTACAATGTTAAAAAAATAAGTATTTTAACAGCATAGAGACATTTAATACCAACAGTCTTAACTACTTAAAACAAAGAATACTCTGTACTTCACTATTGTGCTTTAAAAACATGTTCCTGTATTCTTCTAATGTGATACAGATTCACATAATAATGTAGCTCATTGAAGGAGAAGAAATGTGCCTAAAGAAATAGAAGCTTGTGTCAAAAAGGAGCATGTCTGTCCTTCCCATTTGTATTATGAAATAGACATTTTCGTTCCTTCTGACTACACCAGTGTCCTAAAAAAAAGAAAGCAGGTTGCGTGCACAGATGCTACTCTTGAATAAAAGTTGTTATGATTTGTGTTCTTTCTCAGGTTTTATACTCCTTTCCACTAATAGAAATTTAGCAAAAAACCCTTGTAATCAGATAGAAAGTGAAACAACTTAGGTTTGGGCTGACTGCAGCATTGCTTTCTATCCAGTCTAGGCAGACACACTTTGTGGAAGTATGGTAGATATAAGGTAAACTAAAACATACACTCCCTCTCTACTGCCATAAGCTCACAAGGGAAAAAATGACAATGCTCCAAGCCACCAAAATACACATTACATCTACAAATTTACTTAAAGCTTGGTAAGAAACAATTGTGAATATATAAATCCTCATTCTTAACAATATCCCATAACAGACATTCTAGACTAAGGCTGTCAGAAAATCAACGTTTGTTGGTATACAGAAAAATTTTATTGTATCAGCTGAAAGAATTGTAATATAATTGATATTTGAACAAGCAGGTAAGCTTTCAGGCATGGAAGTTCTGATCTAAGGAATTATTTTCAAAGTCAAATACAAGGGAAGCTGAATTAAATTTTTGTTAAAATCAGACTATCTAGGAAAAGATAGTTGCATGAATGTGTGTATATATACCTACATACACATGTATACATACACACACACACACACACACACACATATATATGAGTATACGTTTGGCTATGCAAAAACACTTTCCTCTATTTGAAATGTCAGGAGTCTGTATTTTTAAAGATAGGATATGATTACCTATTGGATTAAACTCATGCATCCTCATTCCTGGAGGTAATTTCTTCCCCTCAATGTGAATATTGTCTATCTTCTGATCGGTTGTATTTGTTACTGTCACTTGCACAGGTACCATACCATCACCAAAAAGTCCTGGCTGTCTTGAGAAGTGATAATGAGCTGCTAATCCTTTTCCACTCATTCGATGAAGCAGTTCATATGTTTTTGTTGGCACAGAGACTTGAGAAGTGACCTGTTAAGTACAAAACAACAGTTGGCAAATGTAAGTGAAGAACAAATAAAATAACAATTAAATACCACACTTTTCGCTCAGCTAGAACACCTGCTTTCAAGTTAGAATTTTAGTGAACCAGAAACATATAAGGACATATTCAAATGCATAAAAAAATTGCAGTAATAGATATCAGATAACAGAGCCTAACATTTCTGGTGCTGATAAAAAGCAGCTTCAACTTCGTTGTTATCTGTCTCACTTTCCACTATAACATCTTTTCATTTTTTTAACTCTACAGTTATCTATTAAATTATCAGGTTTTTTAGGAGTTACAGTTAGAATAGTTACATTTTTTCCAGCAAGAAACATTCTATGCATCAGAACTACAGGGTGACCCCAAGTCCACTGTGTAATGTGAAAGTGTAGTGAGAAATTGTCTTCTACTTCTGTTGTTAAAACCACAAAAAAAAGTTGCCTAATAATTACACTGGAGAAAAAGTAAAAATACAGTTATAAAGAGCAGGAGGATGCTGCCATTTTTTAAGCAGTCCTGCCGCTAAAAGCAGTAAGAGAAATCCCAAGGATGTTTGGGTCTATTCTATCCTGCAGAAATAGCATGAAAAAAGATATTCAGTGTGCAAACATTCCCAGATACTACTGATAAGGAGATCTGTAATCATGAGCTCAAAAGTACAACACTAAGGCATATGCAGAAATCTGCATAAAAGTGAATCTGAATTCTTTAAACAAGTTCTAAGGAAAGGTTGGGGAATTACATGAAACAAACACCAAACAAACAGAATGCAGAGGTCCAAAAAAGCCAAATGCTCAGCAAAAAAATCCCATTTGTATGGTCAATGCTCTATGAGCTACTGAACTTTACAGTAGATCTGTTAGATACACCTGTTTATGTTTCCACTGATGAGTGTCCCTCTTCTTTTGTCCTACACACAACCCTGAATGTGTAACTAAGCGAAAGAGACAACTGCAGATAGCAGGCTGTTCAAGACTCCAAGCAGCTAAGCAAGGAGAACAAGTTTTTATCTTGCCTTCTCTACAAAACACTTGCAGGGCTGCTACATTTTCCTGACTGACACATTTAACACTGAGGGCCTGGTCTAAAGGTTTAGTGAATACTTTCAGTAATAGAAGAATAATAGGAGATAAAGTAAGAGCTGAGATTTAAACCCATAAGTTATTACAGAAATGGTAGGGCATCTGGAAAACTTTCGGTTGCAAACTATCCTGTTGAAAAACTTGGAAGTTAGCAAGTACATAACAAAACTTGATCTTCATCTCTGAGCACCAGTTTCTGAACTGGAAAGCCAGGCTAATAATATCCATCACCTCAGATGAGTATCTGTGAAGGTCAACTAATAAATGCTTAACAGTGTGAGCACTACACTGATGAAAGCTGAAGAAAACTACATGAGGAACTGAGTGAGTGTGTTTTCTCAAGTGGCTTTGGGAAGTGCATTAAGTTTCACACATATCATACTGAATGAAAAATAAATCATGAAGGAAAAAAGGCAGAAAGGATTCTCATCCCCTCAAAACTCAACCACTATGTGACTGTAACTAGAACAACGCATGCAGGATGTGACCACACAAACAAACACCTCTGTAAAACCTTCCACATCAGATTTCACTTTCAACTTTTTATGTAGTTGTTTCTTTCTTTAATATATAAAAACTCCAGTATCAGTTTTTTAAGAAACAAATTAATTATCTACCAGTAGTCTTAAGTATGAAGACTAAGGGCAGTTTCAAAACACCTCTGAACTGAGGAAACTCCACACCACCAAACTTCGAATATGTACAATTTGCTAATACTTTTAAAATAAATTGTTGAAGTTCAGCCATTTTCCTCACCTTAAAAAGATAATATAATGTTCTCAGGGACAACATTTTTAACTTTCCCATATAATCAGAAGAAAATACAGCTGTTTACAATAGAACACATACTATAAATTTCTGTACTTATTCAAATAATAGTAGCAATACCACTTAAAGAATACAGGCACCACATTTTTAAATTGAGTCAATTTTTTCAGTCCAATTCCTGATATCTGACAAGCATGGAAATATCTAATACTTTTGTCCAAGAACACGGTTCAGTGAAATGTTACAAAATCCACAACAACCGGGTATCTTTTTACTCCAAAGCCATTTCACATGCATAAATATATGCTAACATTAGGGTTACTTAATCTTTAAATTATATTTATAAAATAGTAACCTGTTTGACATCACATGACCAGATTTACAGCCAATGCAAAATGTATGAAAAGGAACAATTTGTATGGACCTTCACAGTTACTCAAAATTCAAAACCTCTTTGAATACAAGACCCAAACTTTCACAGATTAATACTCTGCTTAGTTTTCTAGAAATAACTGACAAGGTCAAACTCTCAAAAAACAACTCTGTTGTCCGGAAATAAGGAATGAAGTACTTCGAATAATAAATATCTTATTGGTACACAGAAAGAGACAATAAGAAGTTATTAAGCAGTCAAATTAGCACATTACTAACATTGTTCAAATAATGAACAAAACTGAACTTTTAAGATGTAATTTAAGTCTTATTTTTAAGTCTAAGCTTAGTCTTTAACTTTATTATTCATTTGAATGGGACCTGAATAATGCAAAAGTTATTTCATGAAATGGTTCACCCATTTTCATTAACAAACTTAGGGCATACGTTTAACTCATGTTAACACAAGTATTTTGAAGTAGACTAGCTTCTCTGTGCTAATTTACAGTTGGTTTTATTACTACTATTTATTAATAGGAATGAAAACATAAAAAGTCAGTAGTCCAGTCAAGTCCAGTCAGAAGTCCAACATGTAGATACATAGAATCATATACTCATTCAAGTTAGAAAATATCTCCAAAATCAGGGTCCTACTGTTAACCCAGTATTGCCATCTTCCCCACTAAACCATGCTCCCAGGTGTCACATTTACAGGCCTTCTGAAGACTTCCATGAATGGTGACTTCACCAATTCCCTGGACAGCCTATTGTAATGCTTGATAATTCTTTTAGTGAAGAGATTTTTCCTAATACCAAACCTAAACCTCCCCTGGAGCAACTTGAGGCCACTTCCTCTTGTCCTATCACTTACCTGGGAGAAGATAATGAACCCCACCTGGTTAAAATCTCCTTTCAGGTAGTTGTAAAGAGCAGTAAGGTCGCCCCCGACCTTCCTTTTCTCCAGGATAAACACCACCAGCTCCCTCAGCCATTCCTCATAGGACTTACTCTCTAGACCCTTCATCAGCTCTGTTGCCCTTCTTGAACACACTCCAGCACCTCAGTGTCCCTCTTGTTCTGAGGGGCCCACAGCTGGATACAGGATTGAGGTGTGATCTCACCAGTGCTGAGTACAGAGGGACAATCACTGCCCTGGTCCTGCTGGTCACACTATTTCTGACACAAACCAGGATTCCACTGGTGGCCTTCTTGGCCACCTGAACACACTGCTGGCTCATGTTCAGTTGCTGTTAAACAGCACCTCCAGGTCCTTCTCCTCTAGGCAGTTTTCCAGCCACTCTTGCCTCCGCCTGTAGCACTGCCTGGGGTTGTTGTGACCCAAGGGCAGGACCCAGCACTTGGCCTTGTTGAATCTCATACCACTGGGCTCAGCCTTTTGGAACTTTACCTTTCACCAACCTGTGCTGGCTGGGCCTGACCCTCCAACATGTCCTTCATATGCCATGTAATGGCATTCAGGATGAGATGTTCCAAAATGCATATACAAACAGAAAAATCCTTCACTGTACTTAAATTCTAACATTCAATCAAGTTTTACTGAATCCTCCCTGTGATTTTTAGAGATGTTAATCTATGCCCCCTTCAGCATTACTTCTCGTTTCAGTCACAATTTCACTCCTGAGCCCGTTCACTTCTATTTTCAGTATTATACTACACACAGCAACAAAAACACAAAGGACAGTCAGAATACTGACATGATGTTTAAGCCATCTTTCTTCCTACAGAACATTAATTTTCACTTGCATTTAACGTGGCAGTACTGGAAATAAATAAAATATATGTATGTTGAAGAAATTTAATTCCGGAAAATGAGAGTTCTCAAACCCTCTACTTGGTAGCAAGGGTTTTGAGCTGACAAAGGCTGATGTGACTGCAATGTGGTGTATTTAACAGTTGCATCGGTCTAGTAAACAGAGTTTTTTAATTCTAAAATTTTTGATGTATCGAGTTGTGATACTTAGAAAATCCCACAGGGCACATACCTGCAATCACTGTGGGGTTAAAATAACACTACACAGAGTTAACAGAACAAGACGCATCTACTAACCAGGAGATAATCTCCTACAAATCTTACAGAGCATATGTTTAAATTATAGAAGTAGTTTGTGTACCTTTGGATGGTTTATGAAAATAACCAATCAATTCTGTAGACACAACATTATTTCTAAAGGAAATCTATGTGACTCATGATGCCTGCAGAAACACAGAGACAAACCACACATATTTTATCAGTTTATTACAGTAAGCAAATAAGCGTGGAATGAGAGTGCACATAACTGTCTACTTAACGCTTACTGAAACATTTATAAGAGCTGTTATCTCCCTAATAACAGACAGACAGTGTGCAATTTTAGAGAGGAGAAAAGCTTCATATTTTTTAACACTTCACTAAAAAGTAACTGAAGAGTGTAAAATGAAAAATACTCTGTGCAGTTAGCTGGTAATGGACCATATTATCAACTCAAGTTAGATTTATAGGATACAAACTAGTCACTAATAGTTATTTTATGACACAGTGTGTCTGCTTTTTTGGGTGAAGATTATTAAGATTAAACTTGCAAAACTTTTTTTTATACAGCTGTTTAGAAAGGCAGTAAAAATAAATTAAAATACTGACTGCCCTCCCACCCCGTTCTGACTGAAAGCCAAGTGTAGGGACTCCACAGTGATATTATATGGTAACACTATCTTGGTACTAGTCAGACTGGCCACCATTAGAATTGCACATGTTGAAAGGCGAT